GTTCGACCTCCAAGACTCGGCTACTTCAGAAGATCTGTCATGGCCTTAACTCTCTCTGGGCTCCTCTGGGATCCTGTTCTACCTCTCAAGATACTTCACACATATGTCATCAATGCCTACTATCTATCCACCTGCCACACACCTGCCACAGACAGTGAGCTCTTTGAAGTTTGGGGCTGTATCTCTTCTCTGTTTCCAGCACCTGGTCCTGTTAATACCTGTCAATAGTCAGTGCCCTAATAAATGTTTGTTGAGATGTCGAAAGCCAAGACAGAGCAACATGATATTTTGATACACAGCTGGTTGATTCTTACACAAAGAAAAAGACCATGTTATACAATGAATGAAATTGTGGGCAACATCCTTAATAATGTTTTATTAGAACATACCAAAGTCCAAGGGCTTAACATGAAACCCAGCACGGTGAAAGTCTTTTGCTAGGAGACTGGGCTAATGGAGTCCTGTATAAACTTTCTTCCTGCCGTCATCATAAACACAAGAGTCACTGTACAGAAGAGGAGCCAAGCAGCACACGCTTGAGAAGCCAAGATTTTGATAGGATCTTGACTGCTTATCAGTTCAAGGTTAAATTTCCTGAGTGGGGCTGATGATGCACACATCCTGTGTGGTTGATTAAAGAAGATTTGAAGTTTTGGATAGCAAGTGCTCAGGTGGCAAGGGTCACAGTCTATTGGAAGGCTGAGTCTCTTATTAAAGAGTGAGGCCTCCTCATCTCCACCCACAGGTATGTCACAGGTTCCTGCATGCAAACCCCACACTCCAGTTATGCTGGATATTCACTTTCTCCAAGTACATCTCAAACCTTCCCACTTCTACTGTTTTCTGTAACATACCTGGAATACCCTCTCATTCTAATTTCTACCTAATAATATATTCATATGTCAAGGCTGAATTCATTGTGATTGAGTATTGGAGATACTATATACCCATTAGCCCTTTCTTCCACATTCAACTTCTGGTAGCACACATGGCCACCTGGCTGAGGACTACATTTCCCAGACTCCTTCGTAACCAGGTAGGACCAGCATATCAGGTCCTGGCCAACAGGATATGTGAGCCACCCCTGGATCTGGGCTTCAAAGCACCTGTTTTTTTCTTCCCTTCTGCCATCACCCTTCCCTTAGGCTGGAATACCAATGTGGCCATAACCAAATTTTAACCACACAGATGAGGAACAATACCCTTCAGGAATGTGGAGCAAAGCTAAAAGAAAGCAGAACTGAGTGGCCTTGTGGAGCTGAGCTGTTCTATCTAGATCACCACATACACCTGCACTGTCACAGGAGAAATAAAATCGCATCTTAAGATTGACCCTGCAAAGGAACTGAACAGGAATTTCACAGAAGAAGAAATACGATCCATCAACAAATATATTAAAAAATGTTTAACATCTCTAGCAATTACAGAAATGCGTTAAAACTGCACTGAGGTTTCATCTCAGTTCCGTTAGAATGTCAATTATCAAAAATACAGGGGACAATAAATGTTGGTAAGGATGTGGGGGAAAAGGTATGCTCATACATTGCTGGTGGAACTGCAAATTGGTGCAACCACTATAGAAAGCAGTATGGAGTTTCCTTAGAAAACTTGGAATGGAATCACCATTTGACCCAGTTATCCCAAACTCACTTATAAACAGAGGAATTAAAATCAGCATACTACAGTGACACAGCTACATCAATGTTTATAGCAGCTCAATTAATAATAGCTAAGCTGTTAAACCAACCTAGGTGCCCCTCAACAGATGAATGGATAAAGAAAATGCAGTGCATATACACAACAGAGTATTACTCAGCCATGAAATTATGGCATTTGCTAGTGAATGGATGGAACTGGAGAATATCATGCTAAATGAAATAACCAATCCCCCCAAAAAACATAGGCCGAATGTTCTTTCCAATATGTGGATACTAACTCACAATAAGGGGGGGAAGAAAGGAAGTATATAAGTTCATTGAATTAGACAAGGGGAAGGAAGGGGAGATGGGAATTGGAATGACAGTAGAATGAATCAGACATAACTTTCCTGTGTTCATATATGAATACACAACCAGTGAAACTCCACATCATGTACAACCACAAGAATGGGAAGTTATATTCCACGTAGGTTTAATATGTCAAAATACACTCTACTGCCATGTATATCTAAAAAGAAGAAATAAAAAAATCTGGGAGAGAAAAAAAAAACTGACCCTATATGAGTCACTGTATCTGTGGTCTCCGCCCTCTAACTTATTTTTTATCTACCTTCTGCTCTGCAAAACTTCCCCAGAGCCATCTGCAGTCCTGAGCGGGGAGCCTTGGAGACAACATTCACACCACACCCATGTGGCACTGTGGTGAGCCCTGTGCAGGTTAGACTCTCCCTAGTGAACCATAAGATTCCTGCACATGAGGGGGGTGCATGCCTGTGATCCCAATGGCTCTGGAGGCTGAGGCAGGAAGAACGAGAGTTCAAAGCCAGCCTCAGGAAAAGGGAGGCGCTAAGCAACTCAGTGAGACCCTGTCTCTCAAAAAATACTGAGAGATGTGGCTCAGTGGTCGAGTGCCCCTGAGTCCAATCCCTGGTACCAAAGGAAAAAGAATAAAAAAAAAAAAAGATTCCTGTGGAGAGCACACCAACTTCTTCTTGGACATCCCACAGAGTGGCTAGCACCATGTCTGGGGCACAGAAGTCACTTTGTTGAAGAAACAAGTGAATCAACAGCACTTCCCACTCAACTTCTCTTTTTAGAAGCCAAACAAAGATAGCAGCCCAAAGTCAACACACAACATATTTATACAGAAACCAGAAAGAATGCAGCTGACAAATAGGAGGCTGGTGCACTGAACCGGGAAGAGCGAGCCTCCAAAAATAACTGCGATGGGAGAGCAACGCTGGAAAGAGCCCTCTGAGCAGCACAGATGGTTGCTAAAGCCCTGGATCAAAGCCCCGCTTCCTCCCACACCCCTCAGAAGACCCCAAGGGAAATGGCCACATGCTCTCCAATCCTGGACAGTCACTTCTGCCCCTGGATAACCTCCTGTTGGCACTTTCCATGAAGCCAGGCCTGTAAATGGAGTTTCTCAGAGGAACCTGGGAGAGGGGCAATCGCATCATTCTACCAGAAGTTCAGGAAGGAGAGAGTATTTCCCAGGCAATAAGGAAAATGCTCAATCATAAGGGGAACCGGTCTGAGACCAGAATGCAGGGTTGAAACCCAGCACTGCTGCTGACCTACTGTGCAAATTTGGAGAAGTAACTTAGCCTCTCCTTACCTTGATGTCCTCATCTGTAAAACAGGTGTGATAATAGTACCATCTCATGAAGTTGCTGCAGGATTGAGTGTATACATTAAGACACCCAGGGCTGGAGTTATAGCTCAGCAGTAGAGCGCTTGCCTTTACATGTGAGGCACTGCATTCGATTCCTAGTACCACATATAAATAAGCAAATAAAATAAAGGTCCATCAACAACTAAAAAATATTTAAAAAAAAAAAAAGACACCCAGAAGAATGGCAGGCACATGATGGTTGCTGTCACCAGTATCACCCTTATCCTCATTGTCCTCACACTTGGAGGTGGCTCCAAGTATAAAAAACAAACAAAATACACATTTTCCAGATTGAAAAAAAAAAAAAAGAGCCTGCAGTCCCAGGTACTCAAGAGGCTAAAGAAGGAGTGTTGTTTGAGCCCAGGAGCTGGAAGCCAGCCCAGGCAACACAGTGAGACCCTGTCTCTTGCAAAAAAAAAAAAAAAACAGAGGGTGAGAAAAGTAACTTGCAGCTCCAAGGGCTTGCATGATCTGCCTGAAGTCACTGGAAAGACAGGACCCAGGCTCTCTCTGGTACCCTAGCTGTAAGCCACATGCTAATATGGGAGCTCTGCAGCCTTCACCTGGACATACTTATCCTGGGTCCTGGGCTCCAGGAGAGAACAGCTCCCAGAGGCTAAAAGCCATGGGCACTGTAATCCCCTCCTCCTACAGGAATGTTTTCTCAGGAGTCACGGGTGAGGGTGCTCTGTGGGCACCGCCTCCCTGTCACTCATTGCCCAGCAGGCTCCTGACCCCCAGCTGGGCCCCCAGCCACTCAGACTTCTCTGCCAGGGTAGGTCTATGCCCAGGAGATGGAGGCAGCGAAGGGTGGAGGAGGACCAAGAAGATTTTTATGATTAAAAACAGAGGAAGATATGTGAAGGGACCAGAAAGGCACAGATGACATCATGAGGAAGTATTTATAAAGGAAGGGATGAGTGAGGAAGTGCAAATGAGAACACAGAAAAAGTGTGCGGAACACAGGTGCTTCCTGTGCCGTCCTGGCAGAGGTGATCAGATCAAGCCAGGCTCTGTGAGTGTGTGTGTGTGTGTGTCTCTGTGTGTGTGTGGCGGGGGCGAGACTGTGTAAACCAGAGAGTGTGGGAGTCTGCGACAGAGACACAGATACAAGTGATGGACAGAAAGAGACCCAAAGTCAAGGAGGCATCCAGAGAGAAAAGCAAGAAGAGGAAGAGAGGAAAGAACTGAGAGAGGAAGAAAGACTAAGAGCAGAAGTGACAGACACCAAGATCCACATAGTACCACAGATTTTCAAAGTGCCCTCCCCATAGCCACTGTGAAAAAAACAAATAAAAAATTGAACATCAGTTTCTCTCCCAAAGAAGTTCCTTTTCAGGAAAGTGCTAAAATATTCTGGTTGCTGGGTGCTGACCAGTATCTCTGGCCTGCAGTCCCAGTTAACTCCCATTCCTTCCTCGTTCTGATTCGATGACCCCCTTCCCTCTTCCTGCAGCTCTGTTTCTCCCATAATGTTGGAGAAGATAAGCTGTTGTGGCCACATGTCCGCTGACCCAATTTGTCAGGTAAGTGGAGTTCTTTAGTGCAGCATGCCATGGATTGCCTCTGGGAAGAGGTCACACACCATTCCCATCCCCAGGTGAGAGAGTCATATAAAAAACAGTATGCTCAGATCCGAGGTCGGTGTTGCCCAGCATGCCCACCTGTGGAGAAGGGGCCTGGAGGTCCTTCCGTGCTCTGGGGAAATTCACCCCCCTCAGGTCTCAGCAGACACAGAAGTGATCATGGCTCCTTCTTGGACTGAAAAGAGAGGGGCAGCTGTGAGCTCCCACCGACCGCTATTCCCAGTCCCCATTGTCCCCACTGCACGTCTCCAAGGCCCCTTGAGCTTGGCAGCTCCACACTTCACCCTGTGAACTTCCTTTCAGGTCAGGCATGATTCCAGGCCGGGTTCTACCATCACCCCTGTCCTGCTCTGGGAGAAGCTTGACCCACCCCAGTATGAATCCTCCCTGAATCCACTGAAACCACTGAAGGGTTTTTAGAGCATCAGGCTCCCTCTGAGAAAGGCCTTCCCAGCCCCTAGTCCATGAGGCTCACAGGCCGTTCCAAGGCTTGTTAGATCTGTGTTCCCGGCAGGCCTGGTACACAGGTGCTTGCCTGCAAAAATTCCTGCAAGAATTGCTTCTGATTCCTGGGATTCATAGACCTTTCTTTTCAAGTCCTCTTAATCCAATCCTAATGCCACACAGCTTCTTCCTACAGGCCCTGGGGAACTCCTTCACAGCCACCAGATGGGCCACCAGATCAAGAGGCCAGAGGGATGGCAACTCCAGGAGCTCCTCAGCTTCTCCTCCCACCCCCACCCCTGCTTATTGGTTTTCTATGGCTGCTGTGACAAATGTGGCTTAAAACAACACACCGTGATTCTCTCACAGAAGTCTGAAATCTAGCTGTCAGAAGGCCACGCTTCCTCCAGAGGCTCCAGGGGATTATCTGTTCCTGGCCTCTTCCAGCTCCTGGGGGCTCCTGGCTTTCCTGGCTTATGGCCACATTATTCTCATCTCTGGCTCTGTGGTCACATTGCCTTTTCTTCTGTGTGCATCCCATCTCTCTCTGATTTGCTCTTATAAGGGTACCTGTGATTCCATTTGGGCCCTCCTAGATAATCCAAGTCAATCTGCCTTTCTTGAGATCCTTAATTTAATCACAAATCTGCTAAATTGTTTTTTGCTATATTAATATTACACACACAGGTCCTGGAGATGAAGATCTAGCCATATGAGAGAGGGGCACTGTTAACCTAACATTCCTGGCCACACAGAAACTGTGGCTGCAGGAAGATGTAAATCCTCCCCAGCCCTAATCCATCCCTCCTATCCCAGAGAGGGAGCTGCAAAGAGAAGCAACCAGTGGGGTTAGGGGAAAAGAGAGAAGGTGAGGGTCTAAGAGCATCAGAGTGCTGGTCTCCAGGGTCATGTTTCTCCTTGCTAGATTTGTGACCTTGAACAAGTTGCTGAGTTCATTCAAACATTTATTGCATGCCTTCTGTGTGCCCAGAGGCTTGCCTGCAAAAAAAAAAAAAAGGAGAAAACAGTGTATACTGAACTGTGCTTGTGTTTGGAACAGTGCCTAGAATTGTACCTGATTCATAGTGAGCACTCAATAAATTCTAGCTGTTACCTTATTTTCCGTGGGCAGGATTTGTTTATAACAACCAGGTCACGTAGGAGTGGAGAAGCTTAAACAGCACAGGGTCAAGGAAGACAAAGGGAAGAGATACCGTGCTCCTCCCTACCTTGTTCCATTTTTCCCAACTGCCCTGTTGTTGGGGACCGAAAATCAAGTCAAGATGGCGCCTGGCAGTTTGCCAGGAGGAGTGGTTTGTGAAGCACGCCACTGAGCCATTAAGATGGTGAGGATTCCTTATTGGCTGACTACTATATCTAGAGGATGCTAATTGAGACACGCTGTGTGTAATCAGTAAGGTATATATACCTCTGCTGTTTCACAATAAAGTGACTCCTGCTACCTTGGGTGCCCACTACCTTGAGTTCCCGCTCAGTTCCTGGGCTTTTATCAACATATACCCTAACTGTTCTTGGTTTTATGGGGTGCCTCCTTCCTTTAGCAATTTACTTAACACCCTTTCGGTTTGATTTTTACTAACTTCTGATCCATCACAAAGACAACACAACACACCAAGACAAAACGAAACAAAAACACACTGTATCAATCCTCTCCATTTTCTTGAAATGGCCATTCGTCCTCTCGCCCAATCTGCTTCCTCAGGGGCGAGCAGTTTTCCTCCCGTCCTATCTATTTCTAGGGACAGGCAGCTTTCCTTGTCACTTACCCCCGAGCGTCCCGGAGTTCTCCTGTACAGGCCACCATTTGCCGCAGTCCGGCTGGGCAAAATAACCGGGAGGTGACAAGCAACTTGAAGGTTGAAGCGGGAACTGCTTTATTGCGGGGAAACTCAGCAGGAACTGAGCGGGAACTCAAGGTAGCGGGCACCCAAGGTAGCAGGAGTCGCTTTATTGTGGAACAGCAGAGGTATATATACCTTACTGATTACACACAGCTTGTCTCAATTAGCATCCTCTAGATACAGTAGTCAGCCAATAAGGAATCCCCACCATCTTAATGGCTCAGTGGCATTGCCTCACAAACCACTCCTCCTGGCAAACTGCCAGGCGCCATCTTGACTTGATTTGCGGTCCCCAACACCCTGTGAGTTGGAGGATACTTTTGTTCCTCCTACAGAGGAAAAAGTAGATTCAGAAAGTTGAGGTCCAGCATTCAGAGTTGATGCTCACCACGTATGCACATGTTGTCCCAAAGTTCTCTACGCCCTTGTAACTCAGCAGGCATGTATGACCAGCTCTAGACAAGAGACTGAGAAGAAGTGCCAAGTGGCACTAGCGGGATGGCAGAGAAAAACACTGTGAGTCCCTTTTGCTCTCCTTTCACCACCCCTTAACCGTGGATGTCTTAGATTGAGATGGACCATCCACAATACAGAATCACCCCACCCCCAAGTCACTGCTGGGAAGGACCTGCCTGACCCACACTGGATGCTACACAGGTCATAACAAAGCAAAGCAAAACTTGTGCACAGGGAGACTTGAGATTGGGAGTTGGTTTGTTACACAGCAGAACCTATCCTTAACTGACTGAAAATCCAGGTCTCCTAAAGAGGTGCTTTTCCATCATTCTTTCTCAATCCAAGGGTCTTAGAGTGGGCTCTACCTACTGTCTTTACGCCTCATCTTCCATTCACCTTTCTGTCTCTTTGGTCAATCTTCTACCCATCTTTCTGCTACATTTGCCCTGTGATCACCATCTTACCAAATCTATTTGATAATGTTAGTTTTTTTTTTTTTTTTTCATGATTGAGTTTCTGAGGAACGTGACTCTGTTGATATAGTTTGCTCCCTTGTCACTCTTGACCCAAATTGACTTACACCAAAATATCATTATTTCACATAGGAAAAGGCCCAATGGAAGAGTTGACTTTGGGAAGGACTATTCCAGTCATCAAATGTCATCAAAGACCCCAGTTCTTCCCATTTTACCTTTTTGTCAAAAACTTTGGTGTGTTGACTTCATCCCTAGGCTGACTTTCCTTATGGTCATAAGATAGCTGCGGCTTGGGCTGGGGATGTGGCTCAAGTGGTAGTGCGCTCGCCTGGCATGCGTGCGGCCCGGGTTCAATCCTCAGCACCACATACCAACAAAGATGTTGTGTCTGCTGAAAACTAAAAAAAATAAATATTAAAAAATATCCTCTCTCCCCCCCCTCCTCAAAAAAAAAAAAAAAAAATAGCTGCGGCTGTTCCAGATTTGTGACATTGAACAAGTTGCTGAGTTCACTCAAACATTTATTGCCTGCCTTCTGTGTGCCCAGAGGCTAGGCTGAGACAGTTGCCTTGCCTGCAAAAAAAGGAGAAAACAGTGTATACTGAGCTTCTGAGGAACGTGACTCACATTATTGTTATTTATTATCACTTGCAGTTGCAACAAAGTTCAGGGGTAAAATAAAACCATCTCATCTTGCCTCTGACTTAAGAACAAGGAAACCTTTCCCAGAAGCCCTTTAGAATTCTTGCCTCATACTTCCCTGGTCCTCACGGGTCACATATCCATGCCTAAGCCAGTCACTGGCCCAGGTGGAACTTTTCGGCAGTGACTAGCATGAACCTCATCGGTGGATTAATCCATTGGTGAATTAATAGTTTGGATGGAGTGCTGGGAAGTAACTGTAGGCAGAGGAAGTAGGTCCCTGGAGGCATGCCCTACACCTTGTTCCTGGCATCTCCCTGCTCCTTGGCTTCCCAGCTGCGGCTTCCCTCTGCCACCCATGTCCACCATGTTCTACCTCACCTCAGGTCCACAGCAATAGAGTCAGCTGACCATGGACTGACACTTCTGAAACCATGAGCCCCAAACACACTTCTCCTCCAAGTTGTTCTTGTCAAGTATTTTGGACACAGCAATGGAAAGCTGACTAACGCACCCTCCCACCAGAACTGTTTGTGAATCATATTCTGCCCCTCCTTACCCACACCCCTCCGCTTCTGAAAACACCTACCGGGCTTTCCACAAACAGGGCCTGCCTTTCCTGCACCTTCACCTCACCCCATTTCCCACTTGCTCTGCATTCCAACAAGATGGAACTCTCATGTGAGGTCACCTCTCTGAGGCTGTGCCATGTGTTTTCACAGCCTGGAACAGTCAGCAAACTTCTTTTTTTTTTTTTTTCCTTGAAAAGAGGGCTGGGATGTAGCTCAGTGGTAAAGAGCCTTCCTTGCAAGCACAAAGCCCTGGATGCAACCCCCAGGAAAGAAAGAAAGAGAGAGAGAGAGAGAGAGGAAGGAAGGAAGGAAGGAAGGAAGGAAGGAAGGGGGAAGGAGGGAAAGAAAACAACAAACAAAACCCAGTCAAAAAGAAAAAATAATAACAAAACCCAGCTTTGTCATGGCCTCCACGAGAAAGCCTTCCCAGTTTCCCTCCTAATGAAGTAAACCAGTGCCTCTTCTGTGAAACTCCTTCCTTCATTTATTCAATAAACATTTACTGAGCTCTTACTGTATGCCAGGCACTAGGATACAACAAGGAATGGGACAGGCACCATCCCTACTCTGCAGGAAGGAGAGGAAGAGGAAACACGAATGAGACTGTGGAACAGGAGCAACTGACATAATGAGGGAAAGGACTTTGGGGAAGAGTTCAGGAGCCCCTGAAGGAGTAGCGGAGCTTGTCCCACACAGGGAAGAAAGGCGTTCGGCAGAGGGATGGGGCATGTGGCAAGGCCTCCAGGTGGGAAGGTGGCACATCTGAAGAATAACAAGACATGAAGGCTAAAACATATACGCTTCCTTTGTTGGGCTCCCCCAAATGGGGTTCACCTGCTGGTCTCCCCTAAAGGGGGCTCCACATCTGACTCTTACCTATTGCAGGGCCAGCACCTTGGGGAAGCTCACGGGGTTGCTACTGAAGGAAGAAAAACCATGGATCTGACAAAGGCATCTGGTAACCCTGGGAGGCCCTCTCAGCCATCCAGGGCAAAAGTCCTGGGAGGCAGCCCAAGTCCTGTTCAGGCTCCTGCCCAGCATCCCAGTAGCTCTTAGTGCCCACTAGGGATTCATTATATAAAAGGAAACTGTGTAAAAGTGGGTGGAAGCCTTGCCCAGGACTCCTGCACTCCCAGGAGGGCAGCGACAGGCTGAGGATGGCCAAGCCCTGCAGGAGGGGAAGTGTGAAATCTGTGCCTGTCACACTCCCACCCCCAGTGCCATCCCAGCCGAGTGTTAGCAGGGGACCAAGGCCCAGAGGTCCTGGAATCATACACTGCTATAGTCCTTCTGCCTTTGCCTGGGCCTCTCCCTGAGAGATCAGGATCCCTGGCCAAAGCAATAAGATGAGGGAGTCTAGAAGAAGATCTGGATAATGGAGGAAAAAAACAGATCTGGATTACACATGCCCCTAAAACAACAGGTTGAAAAATTATTCAGAATCACCCCAGGAAGAAGATGATGGTGGAGTGAGGGTGGGCGTGATAAACCTGCTAAATGCAGGCACCAGTCCCTTAGCATTTCCTTACAATCTCTCACGATCTCTTTGAGGGCTTAGGGCCTAGGGCTCCCAAGAACTACAAAAGCACACCTGACCTTTCTTTATCTGTTGGCTGACCTTTCCAAATTATCTGCTGCTCCCTTACGTCCCCACAAATCAATGAAAGGTTTTCTGTTTCTATCCACCTCTCATCCACCCACCAGCAGGGCTGAGGAGTAATCGAGGTGGCTTTCAAGGGGAAGAGTGACTAATCAGCACAGTTGAGGAAGAGATGAGTCCCCAGAAGGACTCCCTGGGGCTCTGGTGAGAAGGGTCAACGGCAGTGCTCTCCTTCCCTGCTTCTCCTGTGGGTGACGCTGCACCAGGAGCGGAACCTGCTTGGGCTGGGTGCATGGAGGTCTGCAGAGGGCTGGTCTCCAAGGGCTGAATAAGTTGGTTATTCCTGGTTCTTAAGATTTCCACTGTAAGATGGGCTCCCTTTGGGGCATGAAGGCTCTCCCCATGAGCCACAGTCCTCTATTAACACCTTTCTCTGAATTCAAAGGGTGTGGTAACCTGCGTCTCTCCCCCACCAGACTCCTCCGCAAGGGAATGACAGCCCTCCCAGTGTCTCCAATCCCCCTGGTGAGAGTGACAGCTGCACAACCCCTCCCCACAGATGTGCACATCCTGATCCCTACTCCCTGTGAGTGCTACCTGATATAGAAACAGGGGAGGCACTTTGGAGGTGGGATTAAGAATTTGGGGATGGGGAGATATCCTGGATTATCTGGATGGACCCTAACTGCCTTCCCAAGTGTCCTAGGAAGAGAGAGACAGGGTTGAGGCTGTAGCTCAGGGCTTGCTTAACATGCTTGAGGCCCTGGTTTCAAGCCTCAGGAACCACCACCCCCCACCCCCCACCCCCCACCCCCGCCTCCAAAAAGAAAGAGGGAAACAGAGGGAGATTTGACACCACAGGAGAAGGCAATGGAAGCACAAAGGCAGAGACTGTGGCCACAAGCGGCAGCCACCAAAGGCTGGAAGAGGGACTATTCCCTAGAACCTCCAGAGGGAGCATCACCTGCCACCACCCTGATTTCAGCCTAGTGATACTAGTTTCGGACTTCTGGCCTCCAGAACTATAAGAGAATAATTGTCTGTTGTTTGAAGCCACCACCACCCCCAGCTTGTGATCATATATCACAAGAGCCACCAAAAACGAATTCAGTGAGTGACCTCAGGGAATGTAGTCTATGTAGTCATTCAACAAATGTCTCCCAAGTACATTCTAGATGCCAGGCACTGTGGTAGTGCTGAGATGCTTTCATGCAGACAGGGCAGGGCAGGCTTTGCCCCAGGAAGCCACAGTCCAGTCAAATGACCACCTAGAAGAACTGTGCCCCAAATAATCACAGGTGAGGAGAGAGAGGGAATGATAGACTTTAAAGAAATACAAGGACAGTCATAAAACAGTGGCAATTTCTGTACAAATTCTGTACAGGTAGACTTGTGAGCTCAGGAGTCAGCTGCAGGGGTAACCACGCTCTCTGGATTCCAGCTGTACCCAGAGAGCTGCAGGTGCAGGTGGGGGCAGGGCAGGTTAAGGGTGCTGGTGGGAAACTCCAGCTCATAGCACCTCTTCCCCTTCAGGGGCTGCAGGCTCCCACAGAGGCAGGCCCCCAGAAATGGACTTGACACCAGGAAAGACCCCTAATGGAAAGGACCTAAAAGACTGGCTTTTCAACATGAACACTGACTGCATGTAAACTAATGCCTAACTTCAGGGCTGGGTCCTGACTCTGGGTGATGGTTTGCTTCAAATGAGTCAGAACATGTTGGAGCTGAGAGTCTCCACGTTCTCGAAAACAGTGTACCTTCCTACATGACAGCTGGTCCCATAGGGAGGGCAGTGACCTCATGGAACCACCCCCATGTGGTGCATTCCAGAGTAGGCCATCCCCAAGCTCAGTAAGCTTCCTAGCACCACCCTGGCATTACCAGATACCTGAATCTGCAAAATATCTGCTGATCTCTTGGCCACAGGACTCTCCCTGAACCACCTGGAGGAGAAGTTGGGCTGGGCAGGACTGGGCCAGGTGAGGGAGGAGGCCAGGACTGGCCTAATTCTGTTCCTCCCTCACCCCATGACTGTAAGGGAGCTGTATCTCTTGGGGCTCCTGCTTCTCAGAGGCTTAACAATAATACCCCTTCATTCTACCTCTTTTGAGGATGAAATAAGACACAGATGGAAATACATTTTTCAAAAGCTGTAAGTACTAAGCCAAGGTCAAGGGTGTTTTTATTTATTAGCATTATTTTGTTGCCTCTGGAAGCAATGAACTCTGCATTGTCTCTGCAGGGAACAAAAAATAATAATAATAATTGTTCCTCCAAATAGTGTTTCAGTAGCTACAACTGTGTGTCAGCTGACTCCCCCACCCACTTCTCCCCACCAACAACCCTGAGCTTGCAGCTCCAAGGCAGTCTCAAGAGAGTGTGTAGTGAAGAATTAACCCTACCCAGATAGAGAGGTCTGGCCTTTGGCCTTGGCTCCTGGGAGGTATCTGCCAGGAATGTCCTGTCTCAATAGAAGTATCTTTGTCTGCCTGGGGGGTCTTGGACTACACTGAATAGTCTAAAAAAATGTGA